TTCAAACCCACCAGCCACTCCTCGGAAGGAAGATGGGGCAATCTACTTCCATAGTGATACTGCCTCGGAAACCCAAGGAGGGGTCACTATGAGTTGGGTGCGACTCGACGGCACATAACAACAACAACAACAACAAGGAATCACCATACTGCTTTCCACAGTGGTTGTATCATTTGACAGTCCCACCAGCAGTGTATGAGAGTCCCAATCTCTTCACATTCTCACCAGCATTTGTTATTTTTTGTCTTGTTGAACTTGCTACTACTGCTAAGGCAAGATGGCATCTCATTGTTTTGATTTGCATCTCTCTAATGGTTAATGATCATGAGCATTTCTTCATATGTTTGTTGGCTGCCTGAATATCCTCTTTGGTGAAGTGTCTATTCATATCTTCTTCCCAGTTTTCAATTGGATTATTTGTCTTTTTGTTGTTGAGGTGTTGGAGTCATAGTTCTATAAATTCTAGACCTAAGTCCCTTGTCAGATATGTCATTGCCAAATATTTTTTCCCAATCTGTAGGCAGAATATGTAATCTTTCTTATTATTACAGAGTACCCTACAGCCACAATACCCATGTCAAGTGTTTTCAAAGCACCCTCAGTTTTGGTGATTTGCTAGGAGGACTTATAAAACCAAAAAAAAAAAAAAAACCAAACAAACAAACAAACAAAAAAACCCAAACTCATTGCCGTCAAGTCAGACCCGACTCACAGCGATCCCTCCTTGGGTTTCTGAGGCGGTATCACCACAGAAGTAGACTGCCCAATCTTTCTGATGAGTGGCTGGTGGGTATGAACTGCCAGCCTTCTGGTTAGCAGTCAAATGTCTTAGGCACCACACCACCAGAGCTCCCAGGAGGACTTACAGGACTCAGCATATGGTCATACTCACAGTTAAGATACACTGCACTGAATGGACACAAAGCAAAATCAGCAAAAAGAAATGGTGTATGGGCAAGGTCTACGGGAAACCGGTTGCAAACTTTCAAAGGTCACAGAAGTGCTTAATAACTTCCAGCAATGAATTCTAATGAAGCCATGTGAAGTGCTATCTACCAGGGAACCTCATTAGAGACTTAATCCTCTGGGATTTTATTGAGACCTGGTCACATAGATACCCTTTGCCTAGAATATACCAAAATTCCACATTTCCAGAAGAAAAAGAGGTCTTCAGCATGAACCATATTGTGTGCCCAGTTTAAGCACAGTAAAACACTCTTTTTTTTTTTAACCCAACAGGAGATTTTATTCAAAGAGGCGAAAGGGCACCTGCACTGAGGAAGGACAGAAGAAGAACAGGAGGGAGAAGAAGAGGAGAAGAGGAAGAAGAGAAGAAGAAAGAAAGAGGAAGAAGGGAAGAAGAGAAGAAGAGAGAGAGAGGAGAGGAGAGGGTGGTCTTATATAGACCTGGGGTTAGGAGGTTGTACATCAGAGCTAGGGGAAGAGGTCTTAACCTATCAGAGGCTAAGTTGCCTTTTAAAATTCAGGCCTTGCAGGAAGCTCAGTTTCAACTTCCTTTAACTTATTTATGACCTTGGGTGGGGCAGCAGGGAATGAAGAAGAACCCGGAAGAGCCACGCAAGATGGCGTGGCATATCTCTAACATTCCCCTCTCTTTGGTTTTTTAAAAGAAAAAAAAAAGAAGGGCCCGCTTTTGTGGGAAAAAACACTCTTATTAGTTAGAGAATGGTGGAAACATTTCCAAAATTCTAGTTTCCAGATACTAACCAAGGACTAATCTTGTATGACAGCCCTTCTAAAGACAGCAAGCAGTCTTAGGCCTGGGATGTTAATTCATATCTGCAAAGTATTCATGACAAAATGAGAAATAAAAAATCAGCAGGATTTTCGATGGCATTGACTTAGTATTTATAATAGCATGATGCTTTCTGTGGTTATAAAGGAGTAACTCAAATGTGGTAAATGATGATCCCTTTGGAAACTAAAGAGTCATGCAAATTGGCAGGTCTTAAACACAATGGTGACAACTGCCAGAATTACTTCTATTTCTATGACTAATCAATGCTATTGAGACTACTACAGTGCATTCCTTATGATACTATGTAATGGTCAACTGTCTTCTGGAACAAGGAAACATGAGAAGGAAATACAAAAAGCTAGCAGAAGTTAATTTAAGAAATAGGTGAAACTAGTAAAAAGTGGTTAAAGCTGCTTCACTTCAGTTGCACAAGCATGGTATACTAAGTTTCTGACTGATAGTAACTTTTCGATACCACAAACCCAAAAACATAACTCCTGGTAGTCATGACACTGTACTCCCACTGATGCTAATTAGTTCTTAAAAATGCAAATATTTTCCTCATAGCTGTATGTATATGCATGACTTCTTTGTTTTGAACTGTATGAAAATGGAAGCAACTTGTCATTCTGGGAACCTGATCTGAGGCAGAGTCTCCCAGGTTCCTTGTTTGCATGCCTACAGTAAAAGCACTTTGCTCTCCTCACCCAGATAGGTATTCTCATTGACTTGGGAGTCACACTAGGTGAGACTCCGGAAGAAATTGTCTGCAACAAATTCTTTGCTGACATGAAGGGATCCCAATTGACACCCAGTTCTAGGGCTCAAGATGCTAACCAGAGGGAATGATTTCATTTCTCTGCACCACAAGCTCCTTTGTTCCAGGAGGGATACCCTCAGTCCCAACAGCTGTCATTGGTCCTGGACCTAATGGTGACAGATTGTGAAGTGAGGTAAACAGTGCCAAGAACTCTCTGGGATGTGGGTGGGCAGCTCCCTGTGAGTACAGTTTAAATCCTATCTTCCAGGTAGACCACTGGCATCCGAGACCTGGTAGTGCATAGCCAGTGAGGGTGGGGAAAAAGGGACAGTCTGTATATGTTGGACAAATGGGTAATGGTCACAGTGCTTTAGGTTGTACAGCTCTAGGGTACATTTTAAACAATCAGCTTTATTTTGGCTATGATCCAATGAGAATACCTAAAATGATATTTTTCTGTAATACTGCTTGGCCACACTATCAGGGGATGGTGAGGCGTGACCCAACAACAGGTCTCTGAATAACAACACTATACTGCAGTTAGATTTGTATTACACTAGAAGGGAAAGGAGGATGGAAAGATGTTACGTTGAAGCCTTTATATCCTTATGGCAAAATAAAAACCTCCAAAAGCAATGTACAATTATGGCCCAGTGTACGAGTGGACTGGAGCTAGAGAAATTACCTATTCTTCCTCATACAGAGAAGGAAACTCTCCCTGTCTTGA